GCCATTCATTCGCCTCATGTTTCCAGGCCCCACTGCCTCTAGCATCATCTGTATTTGGCCTCAGGCTGAAAGTTGCAAAACATGCGAACTCACTTTATAGAATTTCACTCTTTCAAGCAAGTACACTCCACCAGAAGCCATCTTCTGTATACTTTCCAGGGATTCAGTTAGCTGCTGCTTATTTTAGCTGCTGCTGGTGTTTATGGTCATTTTCTATGGAGAGTTCAATTTTGTTTGATCTTACTTCATCATTACTGGAAGTGTGACTGCTCTAATGAGGTTTTAAAAAGATTGCCTTTTTTTTGTTTTAAACTTAAAAAAAGCTACATTTTATTTTGTTTATCACACAAAATCTATCACCAGCCATGTGTTAATACAGTGTCTAACAACCACAGTATATAAAGGAGAAGCTAGTTCAGGCTATGTATAATCATGAACATTTTTTTTCAAGACAAGGATTGGTCAGAAAAATTATTTTTACCCCCAAAACATTTGCTGCTCATTGTAGGTAAGTTGTCTAATACACTTAATTCACTAAGTCCTGGCATTACTGGATGATGATGAGTAGATGCCAATGACAGCTAGAAAGAAAAGTTGCTATATATAGTACATGAACATTTAATCCCTTCTTCCTTTCCACTATGTTACTATGCTATATTGTTTAATCCTTATAATAATTTATTGAGGTATTATATATCTATTTAACAGATGAACAAACATATTCTTGGGAGGTAAGTACTCAAAGATAAAGGCCGGCCTATTTGATTTCTAAGCCTGGGCTCTTTACATGTACTACATGATTAATTACTGTGAGTTAGTTGGTATTTGTAAGGATGTAGGTGAATGTGTATCTGTGTATGTGTGTGTGTTTAAGTATACTTTTAGTATATTTTTAGTAAGTGTATTTTAAATGATATTAATAAGTGATTTTTTTCTAGAGGGAAAAAAGAGCATTATCAAAGAAAAATACACTGCAAAATGTTAACTCTATAAAAGTTTTTTGTGTACACTGGTATTAAATTTATCAAGAAATACATATATTTTATACTAAGAATATAAATAAGTTTATTTAAAACCATAATTATTTTATATTATTTAGTATATTTAAAATAATTATGTTCTGTAGTTAAGACCTTTGGAAACCCAAATAACATATTTCATAATATTATAGTTTAGGTCTGTAAAGCAAGTGTTGGCATACTACAATCTATAGGCCAAATCCTGCCTGCTACTTATTGTTGTAAATTTTATTTTATTTTATATATCTATTTTTATGTAAAATTCTTATCTTATTTTTATTACCATTATATTGATGTAAAATACATTTAGAAGATAGAACATGTTATTACAAAGGATGACTAATTATAAATGATCTTCCAATATATTATTTCAAGTCAATGCATCATAAGATGATAAATGTCAATAACCACTCCCCCTTTTTATTAATCAATTTCAAAATATTAAGAAGGTACAAATGTTTTGTTACATGGATAGCATTTATAATGCTTAAGTCAGGGCTATTAGTGTGCCCATCACTTGACATTTTATTTTATTATTCTATTCTATTATTGGAATGCACCCATGCCCATTTGTTTATGTATTGTCTATGGCTGCTTTTGTGCTATAATGGCAGAGTTGAGTAGTTGCAGCCCATACAGTACAGTCCCCAAGCCTATAATATTCACTCTCTGACTCCATACAGAGAAAGTTTACCAACCCCAGCCCTTACAGGAAACTCAGTATTCTCTGAAGTATTTGAGCTCCAGAGAGGCTGAGTAAGTCACATAAATTCATTATATATTGAGGACTAGAACCCAGATCTCTTATTTTTTATTTTTTTAGAATAATGTTTATAGAAAGAAAGGCCTCTGAGTGGATTTTGTTCTAGTCTCTCCCACATGGTGAATAAGGTTCATACTCTAAGAAAGTATTTCTTTCAAGTTCACAAACACAGAATCATATAACAATGCAACCTGTTTTAAAAGGCTACATTTTTACTCGAATAACACAATTTCGCAGGCTATCGTTCACAAACCCAGCGCTAATGAATAGAAACAGTTTGTTCACTCTATACCTGCTTTCCTCAAGTTATTTAACCTTCATATTTACTGAAATGTTTAGGAGTGTAATTGACCTTTCTAAAGGTGGTTGCTGGTTGTGCTAATTTCCAAAGACTTAAGATTGGTAGTAAACCATTTCAGAAAGTTAACAGTCATATATATATATATATATTTTTTTTTTTTTTTTTTGAGACAGAGTCTCGCTTTGTTGCCCAGGCTAGAGTGAGTGCCGTGGCGTCAGCCTAGCTCACAGCAACCTCAAACTCCTGGGCTCAAACAATCTTTCTGCCTCAGCCTCCCAAGTGGCTGGGACTTCAGGCATGCGCCACCATGCCCGGCTAATTTTTTCTATATATATTAGTTGGCCAATTAATTTCTTTCTATTTATAGTAGAGACGAGGTCTCGCTCTTGCTCAGGCTGGTTTTGAACTCCTGACCTTGAGCAATCCGCCCGCCTCGGCCTCCCAGAGAGCTAGGATTACAGGCGTGAGCCACCGCGCCCGGCCTAACAGTCATATATTTAAGAAGAAAAATACTTCCACAGTGGGTATCATTCTAATGTACATTTATGTGTACATAAATTTCCTATTTATGCTTCCAAAGTCAACATCGATTCTCTTTCAAAACCAAATTGCAAACTAGTACAACATCTGTGGAAAGTAATATGGAGATACCTCAAAGAACTAAAAGTAGAACTACCATTTGATCCAGCAATCCCATTATTGGGCATCTACTCAAAGGAAAAAAAGACATTCTATAAAAAAGAAATCTGCACTAGAGTGTTTATAGTGTTTATAGGCACAATTCACAATTGCAAAGATGTGGAAAAACCCCAAATGCCCATCAATTCATGAGTGGATTAATAAAATGTGGTATATGTATACCATACAGTTCTACTCAGTCACAAAAAACAATGGTGACGTAGCACCTCTTATATTATCCTGATAGAACTGGAACCCATTCTACTAAGTGAAGTATCCAAATAATGGAAAAACAAGCACCACATGTACTCACCATCAAATTAGTATTAACTGATCAACTCTTATGTGCACATATAATAGTAAAATTCACTGAGTGTCGGGCAAGTGGAAGGAGGGCCCGGGGAGGAGAGATGAGTATATTCACACCTAATGGGTGCAGTGTGCATTATCTGGGGGATAGAAGCTCTGACTCCGGTGGGGCAAAGGCAATATATTTAACCTAAACATTTGTACCCCGTAATATGCTGAAATAAAAAAACTTGGGATAAGGACTGAAGACTTCAAGCCTACAGTTATACTTGTAAATATACACTAAACCTTCCATCGATAGGCACAGACAGGGATGATGGTACAACAGTCCCTGCTACAAAATGAAAAGCATTGATACCATTAAAATCTTGGATTAAACATTTACAAGGGCTTTACTAATTAGTATCACTGGAACCCCTCTAACATTTTAGTAGGCCACTTGCTCTGGAATAGTGGTACAAAAGTTGGGAGAAAATAATATTTGTTTGGTGAACTTATTTAAATGTAGGTGGCTGGAATCCACCAGAGGTATATGGAATGTGAATCTTGGAATGGAAGCAGTTAGGTATCTGGTTTTTTTTGAAAGATCTGCAGGTTATTCTGAAGCACACCCAAATCCCTCTGGTATTGAGGAAATTGTTTTTACCTGACAATATGGAAAACTGAGTTCTAATCCTGGCTGTTTTGTTAAGTTGTTGTATGGTCTCAGACAAGTCACTTAAGTAGCAAAAAGGTAGCAGGGAGGACTTCTATTGAAAGTCTCTTCCTTTTTTTATAGTTGTTCAATTTCTTTAGCTTTCTCATCTGTGAAAAAGAGTTTACAGTATCTACCTCAGTTTTGTTGTAAGGATTAAGATAATGCAGATAAAGCATTTAATATAGTGCTTGTTACATAAAAACTCAACAAAAGTTAATTTATTAGATTTTATTATTAGTAATAGTAGTACTGAAGCTGAAAGAGCATAGAACTGCAATTCAGTATATGTATTATTTTTCCCTTACAAAACCAAGAAAGAGCTGGCCTTATTCATTTGCTCATTCATTTACCCATTGATTAAAATAAAATAATCATTGCTGTCCATGAGGGTCTGAGTATTGCACTGCACTGAGGATACAACATTGGATACCATGAGATCCCTGACCTTAAAACACTTATATCCCAGTGGAAGATAAAGACTGCAGAATCAATTCAGTGTTCCTATAATTTTCCCTTTGAAGTACAATCACCTTACTTCTAAGAAAATAAACCGACAATACTATGGAGCACTTCTGGGATCTTGTTCTTTCATAATGAAACACGTGGTGTATTGCTCACATTCAAATACTCAGTAAAGGAGATAAATAATGGCTCTTTTCAACAATTTGCGGTGTTGCATTATTATCATCATAAAATTTATATCCACTTTGTTAAAAGACAAAATATTATATCTAGCCAAATATTGAAGCTGCTACTTTTTATAAGGAAGGCCACAAGCGTTTGCTAAAAAGCTACTTCACCCACTTCCACAAAGACGATAATAACATCTATTAAATAGTTTTCTCTCTCTGTTTGAGTAGTGTGGCATATACATATTAGATAAGATTGCATTTTTGGAAAACTTGTTGCTGTATAAGTAGCTTAGATAAAATGAGCTAAGAGGGTTCAATTAAGTTTCCCTCAGTCTGATAGCACTCAATGTCTTTGACTTTTAGAAAAGGGTTTATAATCTTTGTTGCTATAATTTTAAAGACTTAATAAAATGGTGTTAATAGCCTTTTCATCATTTAAACTGTCTTCCCTTGAGAATTCCATTATTGCTTCTGATAAATTCCTTCTAGAAAGCGTATGAGGAATGGAAAATAATTAGATTATCATGAACATATACAACACCAGTGTTTATTTTATTAGAAACAGCACTGAGAATATTTAAAAAGATGTCAAGTATGTTATTCTATAAACGAAAACTTATTTTTTGTATTAAGTAAGTTAAATAAGAATATAGATTGAACATATTTGCTTTTCTTTTCAGCTGTCTCTTCTTCAAGTTTGAATTGGAGAACTCCTGGGGGGAGGAGGAAATATAGATCTTATATACATAAAAGTCAAGGAATGGAGTAAAAAATATGTGTAGCACATGTGGAAAATAAAAGTTAAAAAAAAACTCAGTAGAAAACTAATTCAGATAGCATAAAATAACATTAATAAAAACAGTATTAACAATGGCAAAGGATATTAACAAACAAAATCAAAATGGCCAACACATTAAAAAAATTATCACTACTAGTTATTTCAGAAATACAGATTAAAATGATTATAGCATTTTCCTATAAAATTAGTAGAGATTTTAAAATAGCAACATGTAATACTGATAAGGGTATGATGATACCCTTATTTGATGCTACTATGTGTATAAATTATGATTCTTTTGAGAGTAATTTAGGAATAAGGCATCAGTCTTAAACATGCATACATTCTTTTTATCAGTCTGGTCTCTGAAGGTTGCAAATGATAGACACCCCCACCTCACACCACCTCAGGCCAAAAAAGGGAATTATTAATTCCTAGCTTGAGTATGGAGTCTGTTACTGAAATTATGTTATTAGAAATCTGCCTCCTTTCAACTCTAGCTTCTGCCTTTCCTCTGTGTTAGCTTCATACCAAAGCAAGCTCTCTCCAGTGGTTGCTAGAAAGTTGGGCTGATATCATATAAGGTAGCAATCCCTAACAAAAGGGAGTGACTTTTCCACAGTAGTTCCTGGAAAAGCCCAAGAGTGAGCCTCATTGTCTGAGTTGGGTTTCATATTCAGTCCTGAACCAGTCACTGCAGCCAGGAGGGTAGAATGCCCTGATTGCCCATGCTTGGGTCCTACATATAACTTGAAGCCAGGGTGGAGTTGGCTTTCTCCAAACCACTTGGATTACAGAGTCATTTTCCGAAGTGAAGTGTTGTCACCAAAAAGAGGGGAAATGAAAGCCAGTCAGGAAAAATCAACAGATATTCACTGTACATTTTCACCCTTTAATAGCAGTCTTATAAATCAATGTTAAGAAATAATAAATACAAAATTCACACCCAAATGTTTAATATCTTTAGTTATAATGCTTAAAGAAATAAAAAACAAAAAATAAAAATTTGAATAATCCTATTGCTCAACAACAGAAGAATTGTAAATTAAGGAATATAAAATATATTAGGGAGCCACTAAAACTATGCTTTCAAATAGTTTTTAGTGCTTATGAGGAAAGGATATTTTATAGGATAAAGCCATAAGGGCAGAAGAAAAGATAACATAGAAAGTATGAGCTTACCTATGTAAAAAATGCACAGGAAATAAACCTTGAAAATGTATTAAAATAATAGTTAGATTTAAGAACTGTTTGAATTTACTTATTCATAAAACAAATTTTTTGGAGTGCTTATTTTTTTTTTTTTTTTTTGAGACAGAGTCTCGGCTAGAGTGAGTGCCGTGGCGTCAGCCTAGCTCACAGCAACCTCAAACTCCTGGGCTCGAGTGATCCTTCTGCCTCAGCCTCCCGGGTAGCTGGGACTACAGGCATGCGCCACCATGCCCGGCTAATTTTTTTTTTATATATATATCAGTTGGCCAATTAATTTCTTTCTATTTATAGTAGAGACGGGGTCTCGCTCTTGCTCAGGCTGGTTTTGAACTCCTGACCTTGAGTAATCCGCCCGCCTCGGCCTCCCAAGAGCTAGGATTACAGGCGTGAGCCACAGCGCCCGGCCTGGAGTGCTTATTTTATGGCAATAATTTTTATTCTGAATATTTTTTTCTTTATAACTTCCATATTTTAATATATGTTATAGTAAGCAACTGAAAGGTGCCCTGTATTTAGATTGAAATTCTAATTACTTCACTTAAATCATCATGATGTTCCAAAAATTATTTTAAGGTGCTGTTAGGTACAATGTCTCATTGAATGTGTCTCTTATGAAGTTAGTTGTCAGTTCAATTTTCTCCGTGAGGGTATTGTTCTTTTATAGGACCCATAAATAAAATCTGTTGATTGACAGAGTGATTCATTTGTTCATTCATCCAACCGCCTATGAATTGTTGGAGGGATTAAAAAAATAACCCCTAAAGGAATTTCCTGAAATTAGGAAGGTGAGAAAGCTTTTAAATTATCCTGGGTCAGATAGCAGGTTTTTGCAGTGATTACAAAATGTTAATTATTCTTTGTTTTAAGTAAATGAAGAGCTAAATGAATGTCAGCAATTCTGTCAAAGTTATTTTGTGTGAAGAGGTTATGCTCATCATAGTAGCATTCAATTGCAATCATAAAAATAATTTACAAGAATGGTCTTTCTACAAAATTTCAGAAATATTGTATCCTACTATTAATGCTTAAATAGATTATCAATGTTAAATATAATATTTATATATTAAATATATTCAGAGTTAATATATTTTCTCCATATTCATTTATGAAAAATTTTCATTCTGCCTGCTGCCTCAGGTGGAATAAAAGGTTAAAAAGCTTTCTGGTGAAAGGATCTTTGTAGCTGGTACCCCCTGAAACTTCAGTTTCATGAGAGCACATTATTTTGGGAGATAGGGCTTCCAAGCCTAAGAGGAGGCTACTGTGGCCAACTTTGACAAAAAAGAGATATAGGCAGAGGTTGCCAGGTCAAGATTTTAAGAGAGAATGTGGAATGGCTCTCTAGGCCAACTGGAGGCAGTGATCTAGGCTGTGTAAGGCTAAGTGGGTCAGTATCAAGGTGATAGTTAAGGGAGCCAACACACATGAGAAGTTTTCTTTCCTTTTTATTTTGACCTAGAATTTCTGTTGTATAGTTTTTGCAATTATCACTGTGGATTTAAATATTAATTTTTATCATGTACCACTCCTGGGCATGTACAAAGAGAAAAATATAAGCAAAATACATTGGTTAAAATATTATTTAAAACTTCCTCCATTTAGGGTCTAATTCTTTGAGAGACTTCAGAGTCATGGGTACTCTAGTTTTCTCCTTATAACAATATCATCTTTTGTATAATCAAGAGTATTAGTGATATAGTACATTTTAAACTATTGTGAAATATACATATTTAAAAAGAAATATACACATACATATATGTAACATATAGGTACAGTTGAACAAATAATTAAAAAGTGAACCCCTATATGAAGAGAATATTATAAGCACATGGGAAGCCCATCATGAACTTTCTTTTCCATTTACAGTAACTACAGTCTGTTTTTATGATAATAATTTCTTTACTTTTCTTCATAGTTTTACCAACTACATTTGCATCCATAAACACAAAGATTTCTCTCTCTCTAACCCTCTCTCTAACCCCCTAACCCCCTCTTCTTGTATAACCGTGGGCTCTGAAATAGACCACAATTACTGGGGCCTTATCCCTTTAAGTGATAAAGGGAGAGGTGAGGCAGTAACAGGTAGATCGTGTTGAATATAGTCAGGAAGTCAAGCCCATCCAGAGTTGCTTGGGGATTCATAACTCCTACCAGGTCACTATGTAATGGGCTCTTCTCTGACTGGAAACCAAGAACCAGCAAATCCATTCAATCTCCTGGTTAGGAGTCGGAACTGCAGAGTGGAGCAGGCCGCCAGTATGGCCTATGATAAGGTTCTCAATAGTAACCATGAAAGACTTTTTCTCTACAGGGTCACAAAACAGATAGGTTTGTACTACAATGGCTTATGTTAGTGTTAGAGCAGGCTAGAGGACAGGTGGTGCTGCTTGCTTCTTACTTTTCCCATCTAATGCAAAGCAAGAAGGTAACAGATGATGCCTGTCTATAGAACCAGAGCCTAGTGTCTCTGGATAACTTAATACTCACTATATCTGCTGTTTATTGAATTCCAAGCTCTGTTCTTAGTGATTCATGCACAACAGTTCACTTAGCTCCTACTAAACCCTGTAGGGTAACGAATGAAGGAACTGATGCTTTAAGAAGTTACTTGTCCAAGATCACATAGTTAGTAAATTTATGTTCTTGGATTTAAGCTATTAATCCCATATGTTGTTTCTAAAATGCTGAAGGTTCACAGATGAGTTATACTTGATAATGGTAGGTTTTCATTTCTATCTTCATGAAAAATACATGCTTTTATACTATAACTGAATGAATAAAATTTCTTTCAAGCTAACCTCATTTTTAAAAATGTTTTATGTTTCCAACAGATTTTTGTTCTCAGAAACTGAGGAGACAGAGGATAATCTTTTGGATACAGTACTCCAATTCCCAATGCCACCCTCCATATGTTTATGGCAGGAAATAGAGAATTGTTTCCTTTCAGCTGCATTTGCAATGCTTACCACTAGAGGGAAGGAACAGACCATGGAGAGCAGAAACAAGCAGGACTAAGGAACTCCTTGGCCACTTCATGCTTTTCATTGCCAGCTGAGCATGAAACTCATGCACCTTTTGTTAATACGAGCAAATGTCTTCTTGTTATCTGCAAGAGATGAGTTCACAATCCTGGTGAAGGGAAGTGGCAGTTTTGGGGGCTGTGAAGTGAGAAAGGCTAACTTGCTTAGTATCTTAGAGCAGAGTTTCTGAACCTCAGCACTATTGACATTTTAGCCCAGGTAGTTCCTTGTTCCTGGGGGCTGACCTGTACATTGTTAGATATTTAGCAACATCCATGGCCTCTACATACTAGACACCAGTAGCACCCTCCCCATAGCCCCCAGCTGTGACATTGCCAAATGTCCCCAGGGGAGCAAAATTGCCTCTGATTGAGAACCACTGCCCTAGAGATCCAAGATCTCCTGAAGACCTGAGGCCTCAGAAGATAAATGAAAGGTATTTTCTTCCTGGTGACTAGGGAGTCTAGGCTTTTCTTGGTTTGCTGAGGCTGTGGAGAAAGGGGAACCCTTATACACTGTTGGTGGGAATGTAAACTAGTACAACTACTATGGAGAACAGTATAGAGATTCCTCAGTAAACTGAAAATAGCACTACCATATAACCCAGCAATCCTACTGCTGGGTATATATCTAAAGGAGGGGAAATAAGTATATCACAAAGCTATCTGCACTGCCATGTTTATTGCAGTACTATTCATAATAGCCAAGATTTGGAATCAACCTTAGTGTCCATCAGCTGATGAATGGATGAAGAAATTGTGGCACATGTGCACAATGGAACATTATATAGCCACAAAAAGAATGAAATCCTGCCATTTGCAACAACATGGATGGAACTAGAAAACATTAAGTGAAATAAGCCAAGCACAGAAAAACAAATCTCGCATGTTCTTACTCATATGTGCGAGCTAAATATTAAAAACAATCAATCTCATGGAGACAGTATAATGATGGTTACCAGAGGCTGGGGAAGGTAGAATGGAGGGAAGGATAAAGTGGGGATGGTTAATGGGTACAAAAATATAGTCAGGTAGAAGGAACAATATTTGATAGATTAACAAAGTGGCTATAATCAACAATAAGAGTATACTTTAAAATAACTAAAAGAGTGGAATTGGAATGTTCCTAACACAAAGAAATGATAAATGCTTGAGGTGCTAAATATCCCTGTTACCCTGATTTGATTAATTCACATTGGATGCCTGCATCACAACATCATATGTACCCAGAACACTCTTTTTTGCACATTCTAGTAGACTGATAAGAACAACCGAAAAGAAGTGTAACCAAGAGGGAAGAACCAAGCTAATCTAAGAGCCAAAAACCCAAAATGATACTATACAACTTATAAAGCATATGAATTCAAAGCCCCACACACTCTGTAATGCCATTTAGAGGCTCTTATAGAGCCAGGAACTCTGATTTTGGCAAAGACAATATCCAAATGTGTCCAGGGTCTTGACACCAATAGGTCACTGGCATTAGTGCTCTTGATAGGCTCAAGTCCATCCTCTGGTACTACTGGGGCTCATTCTAACTTATCCTTCACCTCTCCAGAGGCCTTTTTCAGAAAGGATAGTGTATAGATCTACCCAACCCAATGATCAAATCTTTTGTCAAAGTATGGTTTTTAACACTAAATCACTGAAAACCATTAGACTGTCACATTCAAGGGCATCTGGCTTAAACACTGTTTCATTTTTTACTGGAGTGGGTCATAGTAAGCAGGACTCAGTACATGTTAATTAATTTAATATATGGATAAGTGAATGAGTAAATGCATGACTACACTCAGGGCTTAGAGTATTCTAATATTTAACATTTGTCCTCAAACATGGAAACATACTTTTTCTGAGCATTTGCTCTGGGAAGCAAGGGAATCTTGGTTAGAAGATGGTGTTGGTGTCCTGCCTAGATTCTTTTTATTGGCTACAGCACTCATTCTACAAGGACTCTGAGTGTTGCTTTCTTTCTCTCTTTACAGAGAATTGCCCAAATGGCATCCAGAAACTATCTCCTTTATCTTGGAGGCTATGCTGCCCCAAACATTCCCATGACTGATATGGGAATCCAAAGGTCATCCCTTTACTTCAAGGTGATTCAAATCTTCGTGTAATTCATGCTTCAGAGCTTCTCCATCTAAACAAACTAAAGATATTTTTCAGCTGAGACCGTATCCTTGCTGAAATTTATTTTCTCCTGCCTTATTCCTCTTTCTTCACTCCCATTATTCCTCTTTCCCACTCTCCACATAAATCATTTGAAGAGGAATTTCCATCTCTGGCTCTGCTTCTAGGGAACCTGACCTAAGGCAAGAATTGATTATACTCAGAGCAACCAAACCCACCTGCCAACATTAGTGTCTTTTCCAAACTTTTCACAAAAAAGTGATGGCCAAGCATTCCAACTGCACACACAATTTATCTCAAGTTTTCTTGAAATCACCACCATTATCTTATTTTAGTTTTTGCTTTCTCTGTCTTTTTAATTTCAAAATAATACAGGGATACAAATGTTTTTGGTTACATGATCAATTTTGTAATGCTTGAGTCAGGGCTATAAGTGTGCCCATCACCCATATAGTGTTCACTGTAACCATTAGGTAGGTTTTTGCCTATCCCCACCTCTCTCCTTCCCCCTGCTTGATTTTCACAGAGTTTTACTTTCCTCTGTGCACATGTGTGCTCATCGGTTAGTTCCAATTTAATAGCAAGTACATATAGTGCTTATTTTTCCATTCTTTAGATATTGCTTAGGATAATGGTCTCTAGTTCCATCCAAATAGTTGCAAAAGGCACATATTCATCCTTTTTATGGCTGAGTAGTATTCCATGGTATAGATATATAGATATATCACATTTTATTAATCTGCTCATGAATTGATGGGCACTTGGGTTTATTTCATGTCTTGCTGAAATAAACATTCAAGTGCAGGTGTTTTTTTGATAAAATGAATTCTTTTCCTTTGGGTAAATACCCAGTAGTAGGATTGCTGGATTGAATGGTAGGTCTACTTTTAGTTCTTTGAGGAATATCCATAGTATTTTCCATACAAGTTGTACTATACTAATTTGCAGTCCCACTAACAGTGTATAAACATTCCATTCTCTCTGGGTCCATGCCAACATCTATTGTTTTTGGACTTTTTAATAAAAGCCATTTGAGCTGAGGTAAAGTGATATCTCATTGTAATTTGTATTTTCCTGATGATCACTGATGTTGGGCATTTTTTATATGTTTATTGGATATTTGTCTATCTTCTTTTGAAAAGCTTCTGTTCAACCATCATCTTATTTTAAACTTTCATTTAAACTCAGTATTATGAGTGCAAGTTCTTGGGTGAAAATAATGTGATGGCATTTGCAGAATGGTAGAATATTCACCTGGAAAAGACTTTAAAAATCATTCAGCTTAACATTTTATTTTACAGATAAGTTGATTGTGGCTCTAAAACATGAATTTTCTCAAGGTGATTTACCTAATAAGTGGCAAAGCTAGGGCAGAAGCAGATGCCTAACCTCCCATTCTAGTGCTTTCTCCAAATCTCTCTGCTTCTTGTTAATAACTGTGCTTACATGAGAGAATCTTGTAAGTTGGGTGATATACAGGCAACTTGAAAGAAAATGCCTTACTCTGTTAACATCCATGAAATATCATTTTAAATAAATTTTAATAACTATGTGATTGTTAAAGAGGATTACTGTCTAGATCTTTATATTTTAAATAATCTATGCTATACAAATTTCCAGGGTTTTCTTACTGGGGATAAATAAGTTAAGACAAGATCACTTCTTCAAAGAGATTAGTAGGGGAAACTGGAAAGTAAACACTCGGACAGCTCTCGTGTTTTAAGCAAGCCGTGCTGCCAGAAAGGCCATAATTAATCTCATCTGGCAGAACTGGGGGTAGCTTGCCTGGGGAGATAGCATTGGAGGTGGCTCTTGAAAAGTAAGTAGAATTTTGACAGGTATAAAAGGGAGAAGATATTATAGTTAAAGACAATAGAATGAGCAACAGCTTACAGAAGGAATGTTTGGGGTGTGGGAAGCCTTCCCCTATGGCTTCCTGCTTCTCAGGAATAGAGGCCAGGAGCTTGTGCATTTAGATGGGATGCTGTAAAGGGTCTGGGATGCCACATACAACATTTTGTCTCCTAATTATAATTTCTCTCTACCCTTACCCCTGATTTTCACCTCCTTATAAATTGCTTTATTTTTCTTTCATTTTCAATAACTAATTTCAGAATGCTTTGTAATATGCACTGAAATTAGTTATGGGAAAGAGGAGAGGAAACCTGCAACTTTCATCTTCATCTCCTTTCTTAAGCATTAATGAAGAGAAAGAAGAAAGAAAATTGGTAGATAAAAATGTAGCTTCCATAAGAAGAATGAACAATCCCTCAACTAATGAAGGAAAAAAACTAACATATTGAGCATCTCATCTATTACTATTAATAAATATGTTAAACATGTTGAAGCATCTCATTTATTAATAATTCTCACTAATTGCTCCATTAGATGCATAACTGTAATTATCTCAAGTATAAAGATAGAAAACGTTAGGCACAGTCTTTGACCAAGGCTGCATAGCTACAATGAGGTGGAGCACTTTGTCTCCAGAGTTTGTCTCTGTGTAGCAGCTTCCCGGGAGGGAGGCACTGTATATAGTAGGGGACGTCTTGGTGGTTCATTTTCTAGAAGACATAATTGAGGAAAAAAAAGAGACAGAGAGGAAAGCAAAATAGAAAGAGTATTAGAGATAGGAAGAAGAGAAATGTAAAAATAGGGAAAATAAAGATATGCTTTAAAAGCATTAGATTGGTTATAAATTATTATTCTCTCCAATAAGATACTTAAATGTACAAACATTACTTCTTTCAACAGATAATGGAAAAAAACCAGGAAGACATTTGGTAGTCGTAAATATATGTGTGTTTATGTGTGTGTGTGTATATATATATATACATATACACATATATAAATATAAATATATATGTATTTTAAATATAGTAAGGCAGACTTTATTCAAGGGGCTCATTGTGATAGGTATAGGAACTGCTACAACTGGGTTTTGCCGTGGGAAGAGA